ACCTCTCTCTCTCTCTCTCTCTCTCTCTCTCTCTCTCTCTCTCTCTCTCTCTCTCTGTCTCTGTCTCTCTCTCTCTCTCTCTCTCTCACACACACACACACACACACACATTAAAGGCCATAGGTGATCATTACCTACCAATGATTAAAATCCTGCCCACATCTCTGCTTGTGTGGTCAGGTTTTTTTGTTTGTTTTGTTTTGTTTTATTTTTTATGGTCCTGAACTCCTGTGCAAAGCGAGGCCCAGCCTCCAGTGAATTCTGTGGCGAAAGCTGGAACCTACGCACGTACCGTCTTCATTTCACATATCTTGACTTCCCAGTTGAATCGTAAGCTACTAAACTGCAGGAGTAAGGCACCCCCTAACTACTTCTAGACTGCCACCCCACCTACCGCAGTCCTGTTTGGTTGGTGTTTCGTTGGTGCTTTTTGACTACCAGTTATTATCCTGAATGATAGGCCTCCATCATAATACATGTCGTTCCTTTTTATTAGACTAGAATCTTTACTTGTTTTAATTTTCATGGTTAGAGCTGCGAAATATACGATCCCTAGATCGTGCCCTTCTAGCTCAAGGGGACGCTTCCGGGAGGGCGGTGCAAGCAGCAGCCCTGTGCACTTGCTTTGTGTTTGTCCTTGTGTGTATTGACAGCAGCCCGACGTCCATCACCACCCCCTGGAATAACGCCTGCCTCACCGAGGGCATGCCAATGCTTGCCGAACTGATTTAGCTAATAGTTTACTATGCATGGATGAACGTGTTGCTCGTTACTCCCTTTATTTATTTTTTTGGTTTTTACGAGACAGGGTTTCTCTGTATTGTTTTGGAGGCTGTCGGTCCAGCCCAGCCTCGAACTCACAGAGATCCGCCTGCCTCTGCCTCCCGAGTGCTGGGATTAAAGGCGTGCGCCACCACCGCCCGGCGCTCGTTACTTCTTGCTAAACATCTTACACACATTTCCTAACTTACCTTTCAGTAGCCCTACGGCTCCTGTATCATAGGCGAGAAAATATTGGTTCAGAGAGATTAAGTCATAGAAGTAAGAGAAGGTGAGCCTAGGACTATCAGTTTCATCCACTGCACTGGTGATAAGCTAACGCTGATGACACCAACGAGAAGAAAATGGATTATTCAAAAATTGTATAATTAAAAAGTCTTTTCATTTGTTTTGTTTTTTTTTGTAAACCGTGGGGCCATTTTGATGAGGAAAGCTCTCATTTTTTTTTGCATGCTCTTCCCATTGCAATTCCCCTCATCATAGCACTACTTTAAAAGCTTGATTTACTGTTTCATGTTGATGAGTTTTGCCTCCGTGAATGTCCGTGCACCACTTGCGTGCCCGATGTGCTTGGAACCCAGAAGGAGGTTTGGATCCACTGGATTTACAGACTAGAGTTACAGATGGTTGCGAGAAACCATGTGGCTGTTAGGAATTGAACCTGGATCATCTCCCCCTGAAAGGTTTGGCTGTTGGTGTGTTTCTTTGCGCTTGTTTTTTTAACCAAAAGACGCAGTCGGAAACAGTCAATGGAAAGACACATAACTGGTCAGAGTACTGAGAATAACAGAGGGGGTGATCAGCCCTGACAGGGCGTGGATGTCACCCCTCTCCCCACCCTCCCACAAGGCTCAGGAGAACGTCTTGGAAGAGGAGGTAGGATGCAGCAAGAGTTGCAGGATGGAGAGAAACTCTGTGAAATGCTGTCTTCTGGACAAGACGTGGCTGCCACATAATGGACCCAGGGCAGTTTGGTTCCCGGCGTAAGAACTGCCCCTTCCTTTACAGAGGAGCTGTGGTCAGTTGATAGCTCCTGGGAGAGGAGAAGCATTCCTCTTGAGGATGTGGCCACGGAAAGGCTCCCACGTTCCAGCGCATGGCCCCACACCCTTGCTCGTAGAAGCAGCACTAACTGCTTAGTAGGGTTGTTAAAAAGAAAATAAGACATGAAGTTTGGAGGGGGACATGTTGGGGAGATATGAGGGCAGTTGGATGGGGGAAAATAGAGGGGGGACATATGACCAAATACACATGTGTACATGTATAAAATTCTCAATAAAGAACTTTTTGTTTTTTTTAAATCAAGAACATACTTCTTGTAATACTATCTTGAAATAGAGTCAATTATCATTATTTACAAGAGTTTGCTTATTGTTCTTTGGCAGGTCATTTTGTTTTTATTTGACAAAGTCTGGGCAGCATTGAACCTGCTGTCTTCCAGCTCCGGCTCCCGGGATGCTTGATTTATAAGTGTGCACACCACGTCACACCTGGATCAGATACCACTTTTATAAAACCCTTTTGGCCAGGCGGTGGTGGCGCATGCCTTTAATCCCAGCACTCGGGAGGCAGAGTCAGGCGGATCTCTGTGAGTTCGAGGCCGGGCTGGACCGATAGCCTCCAAAACAATACAGAGAAACCCTGTCTCGTAAAACCAAAATAAATAAATAAATAAATAAATAAATAAATAAATAAATAAAACCCTTCTGCTGTATGAAGGTATGTGTGTGTGAGTGTGTGTGTGTGTGTGTGTAGTGTGTGTGTGTGTGTGATGTTTCTTACAATTAAAACTGCGCATGCTTTAAAAAGTAACTTGTTTCTCCACTTTGGAAGTTTCCCTAGCCCAATGCTCTGTGGGTGCTTCTGTCCTAAGAGCCTACTGATGGCAGGAGGCATGGTCACCATGGCACCACACGCACGATATCCTTCTGTTTGCTTTAATTCCTTTTCTTTTTCTTTTTTCATTTTGTTTTTATTGTTGTTTTGTTTTCATTTCTTTAGACAGGGTTGCTCTATGTAGTCCTGGTTGTCCTGGAATTCACTATGTAGACCAGGCTGGCCTCGAACTCACAGTGATCTGCCTGCTTCTGCCTCCAAAGAGCTGGGATGAAAGGCGTGCGCCACTACACAGGCTTTGTTTTAATTTCATACCTGCTAGGATGATAGCATACCAGTCACAGAAGGGTTTTCAAGGAAATGCCATTTCATAGCTGAAAACTGAAATGTCCTGTCACACATGAAAGGCTGTCATGGGCCCCTAGAGGTTATGATGGATAAGGCAACAACCTATTCCCCATGGGAGGGCTGTTGTTGCTCTCGAGTTAGCAAAAGTCATTGCTTTATAATTGTTCCCTTTGTATATAGTAAAATGTGCTTTTGAGAACTCATTTCCCCCAACAAATATATGTATATGTGCTATTCAGTGGAAGATTTCATTTGAATCCCCTGCTGAACAGTAGGTATCTTGCTGTCCAGTGTATCTCTGCGTGCTATCTCTCCACTTTCCCTTGATGTCCTGAGAATTATGTGTCAAAATTGCATTTTGAAATGTAATGAGCCGGATGACAAGGACATGGGGCGATAAATACTGTCTCCAAGGCAAGGCATGGTCATTGTAATGAGAACTCATAGCGGCTGTGGTGTTCTGCCCTGGGCTTGGCAACAGCCGGTCATGGATAGGAAAAGGGCTCGTGTGACCCCGACATTCAATGATGAACTATGGCCAGCTGATGGATGCTGGAGGGGGCAGTGGTTGTCTTCAGTTTGTGCGCTCACTGCTGAGTTCATCAGGCTCCGATGGATGGTTCCTTTCCTGTGCTGGTTACTCTTCTGTTGCTGGGATAAAATACCACGGCCAAGGCAGCTATGTAGAAGGAGGAGTATGTCTTAGTTTACGGTTGGCCGAATGTCCACCCTTCAGGGCTAGGAGCATGGAAGCAAGCACAGAGCTGAGAGCAAACCAGGCTATACATTTCTTTCTTTTCCTTTCCTTTTTTCTTCTAGACCGGATTTCTCTGCACAGCCTTGGCTGTCCTGGAAGTCGCTCTGTAGACCGGGCTGGCCTCAGACTCGCAAGATCCATCTGCCTCTGCCTCCCAAGTGCTGGAACCAAAAGGGGTGTGCCGACAACACCCGGCGGCCGTACATTTTCCAGAGCCACCTCTAGTGATGTGCTTCCTTCAGCAAAGCCAAACCTAGACTTTTCCGAGTACACCAGCAACCGGGGGTCCAAGTGTCCGAATGCCTGAGACTATGGAGGTGCATTTGCTGTGCAAACCACAATAACACCCACAGTCCCACAAATAGGCATTGTTAATGCCAGTGGGACACAAGCCAAAACAAAGGACGTGAGTGTGGGAAACACGTTTGTAGGGAGGGTTGAGGTCAGCAGAGATAGGAGGGAGATAAAAGGGTCCAGTGGCGCGACACATCAGAATGTGTTATTATACAGTTATAAAACTGTCCAAGAACACTATTTTAAAGATAAAAAGCAGCAAGAAATTCAGGAATAAATAATGCCAGACACGGTGGCAAATCCTTTGGCCCTCACACTCAGGAAGCAGAGGTGGGTGGATCTCTGAGTTCGAGGTCATCCTGGTCAACAATAGGGAGTTTTACACAGCTAGCCAAGGCTATATAGAGAGAGACCTTGTCTCAAAAGCAAAACCAAACAAAAACCCCCAAGAGGTCAGGTACGGTGGTGCACATGTATAGTCTCAGCACTCAGGAAGCAGAGGTTAGTGTGAGTTCTGTGAGTTCTAGACCACCTGGTCTATGTAAAGAGACCTCATCTCCAAAAAAAATCAATCATGCTGTTTATTTTTTGAATTTCCAGTTATTCTTTGAATCAGTCTCTTCATTCCAGGTGAGTCCCAGGGACAGAACTCTGATCATTTGTTTCTGGTATTTGTTCTTATTTTAGATTCTTGCTGTGTGCTATTTGTTGCTCTGGTTGTTCACTCTCCAAATCCTCAGCCTTGTCTTCTCTCTCTTAAGTAAGATTAATTTATTTAGAAGGTCCAATGTACTCGGTCAATACCCAGGTAACACAGCACCTGAAACAAATGTGCTTGGGACCCGAGATAAACAGCTCTGTCCATAATTAGAGCTTTGTTGACGTTAGGTCTCCTGGAGATGTCCCTCTCCCAGGAACTCAACCACTGTGTGGATTCAGCTATTTAACAAATATTTATTGAGCACCTGTTATGTGTGAGAGACGTAGACGTGGTGGGGAGTGAGATTAAAACAACGCTCATGTTTTCCTAGAGGTTCCGTTTTACTTGGAGCAAGAAACGAGACGGTGAGTGAAGGAATAAGAAGTAAGAGTCAGGCATGGTGGTTCACACACATTATCACATAATCCCAATATTCTGGGGACAAAGGATTGTGAGCTTCTGGCCAGCTCTGTCTTTAGAGAGGGAGGGGGGGAGAGAGACAGAGACAGAGAGAGACACAGAGAGAGAGAGACAGAGAGACAGAGACACACACAGAGAGAGACAGACAGACAGACAGAGACAGAGAGAGATTTCATGTTAATATTTTATATGTCATGGGGTGATTCTTAAGGCATTTATTTGTGTGTGTGTGTGTGTGTTGTGTAAATTTCCTCTGAGATCAAACATTCCATCCTGCAGAAAAGTGCCTTAAGTACGGAGGTAAACAAAAAAAAATCTTCAAGAAGTCCATGAAAATGACCAGATTTACTAGACCCGGCCCTGCCAGAGTAAACAATAAAAGCTGAGAGTCCTGAGCTGAACAGTAGGTTTGACACAAACTCAGCTGCAAACAAGACTCAGATCAGCTGAGCTGCCTGGAAGAGGTTCGGCCACCCCAGGCACCTGGAAAGGACGCTCTCCAACCAGCCGGCTGAGCTCCCTGCAGGCTGAGCAGCGTGCTCCAGGTTTCCAGCTTTGGGAGCTGTTAACCTGTGCGGGTGTGGGCTTCAGTGATGCAGTAAGTAACCCTTCACCCGTGTTCCTGTCATAACCACAATAAAACTCAGTAGTTCTCCAAGATGGGCTTTGGTGGTATCCGTATTTTGATGTGTTGGGGCATTCCTTTCTGGAGTGAGAAGTGTGTGTGTGTGTGTGTGTGTGTGTGTGTGTGTCTGTCTGTCTGTCTGTCTGTCTGTCCATGCCACAGTACACAAGTGGAGGTCAAAAGACAACTTTCGGGAATCAGTTTCCTTGCTCCAGGTGAGTCTTGGCAGCCGGAGCTTGGTGTATCTGGTCATCACATTGTATCTGAAACGAGAAGAAGGGAGCAATATACATACATACTCACACTCACCCACTCACACATACTCTCTCTCTCTCTCTCTCTCTCTCTCTCTCTCTCTCACACACACACACACACACACACACACACACATACACTAGTGCTCAGCTTATGTTTCCTTTTTAAACCATCCAGGATCCTCGCCAAAGAAATAGTCCCACAATTAAGATAAGTCTTCCTACATCCACTAATGTCATTAAGATAACCTCCCACAGAAATGCCCTAGGGCCCCTTTCCCAGGTGATCCTAGATTCTGTCAAGACGACGTTGAACTCTATCACATCCAGAAATTGATAATGCAAGGCAACACTTTTTTGGCATCTTCTGAGCCCTCTCGCTACAAAGGCACCAGGGTCCTAGGATGGGATGGGAGAGACGTTCTCTAAGCAGGGTGATTATGGAAATGTTTTCTTAGGAAATGGTATTTTCTTTGAGAACCCAACCTAATATCTTTCGCAATCAACTCAAGATCCCAAGAAAAACATCTTCAAACAGAAGGAATAGCCCTCCAGCCTCCAGGCAGCAATGAGCCTGACATGCTTGCAGAGCAGAAGATCAGAATGGCTGAAGAGGAGTATGTAGGGGTGGACTTGGAAAACATATGTTCAGGGAACAGCTGGAGCTGGATCATGTTAGGCCTTTGGAAGAAATTTAGGGGTTATTTCCAAATGTGGTGCTGACCCTTGGAAGACAAGAAAGATGACATAAGCCAATTTATATCATTCAAAGGTCACTTCTAGTATAGGCAGAAAAATCGATGACGTGAGATGATAAATACACATTTATTGGGAGGGGAGTGCTAGTTTTGAGTGTGATGTTGAACATCGTGTTTGGAAGGATAAAAATCTCGGGAGTCAGACTGGTGAGTCTCTGAATGATCCAAGACCATAACAGGATCAGGCGTTACATTGTGCATGGAAGATGGTGGTTGATATAAAATGTATTGGGGGCACTGGAGAGGTGGCTCAGTGGTTACGGGCATTTCCTGCTCTTCCAGAGGACCCAGTTTTGATTCCCAGCGCACATGGATGACAATTAACTGTAACTCAAGCTCCTGGAGGCTCTGATGCCCTTGACTTCCATAGGCACTGACACTCATGTCTACAAACAAACACACAGATATATACACATACACATAATTTCTATCTATTGTCTATCTCCTATCTATCTATCTATCTATCTATCTATCTATCTATCTATGTATCTATCTATGTATCTATCTGAAATCAAATGGCTATGGCTTGCTGATGAAGTAGATACAGAAGAAAAGGGAAGATTTTGGATTGACTGTTGTGGTGTGATTACTGAGACAGGAAAGATCAGGGGAAGACCAGGTTGAGGTCTATTTGAACACGTTCCACGTGAGATGCTTGTGGGATGTCCTAAGGCAATGTGTTCTGAGGAGGTTGATATCTCTTGATTTCTGGTTTGGAGGGGGGAAAAATGTTAAAGTGTAATCAGATGAAGAGAAAAAATATTTCCTTCTTAAAATTAGAATTATGCGTTCATTTGTTGATGTTTGGGTCAATTGTCCCACTTAGGTAAACAAAGTAACCATTGAGCCAAGGTTGATACATTTTGATTTTTGATAATCATGGTAGACAGTGCTTTTCAGAGCCGTGTTTTCCAAGCATCCGCCTAGGAATGCAACAATTTCCTGTGGATTCTGAAGCTGGTCTGATGGGATTTAATCACAATCCCATCACTTACTTTGTGATTATAGAAAGTTACTTGATTCCCCAGGTCTCAGTTTCCTTGTGGATAAAACGGAGATACTATTTATCTTGCAGGGTAGTTTCCATCAAGGACCCTGTATACTCTAGATGAAAATTATATGAAAGGAGAAGAGAGTTGAGAAGGGCATGTTGTCTATGGCTTCCTAAAGTGTCCTAGACTCGAGCTGGATCGGCCCAAGAGAAACTAGCCAATGTGCTCAATCCAGCACTACAAGGGAGAAGGTGCCCTGTCTATGTCTCTTCCGTTCGAAGATATAATAAGAAGACAGTGGGGTCCAGCTAGCAGCCTGCGGTGGATGACCATTCAGCTCAGAGGAGCATTTGAAACCTTGGGTTACCAAGACTTTCCTTGCATGTCCTACTATGGTTGCTGACTCTAGATCTTTTCAGAGCCTGTATTGTTGGCCTTGGTGGTGGTGGTGGTGGTGGTGATGGTGGTGGTGGTGGCGGCTCTCGATACTGAACTGGCATGTGAGTCTTCTGTCTTGACCACCTCTCGCTCTGAAATATGTCTATTATTATTTTCCCTTGCCTTCCTGGAATTTGTGGCTGTGAAAACTAAGCTGCAAGAGCAAGCAACTCTGATTATAAAGAACAAAGGGTCCCAAAGCACACTTCCAAGCTTGAAAACCCACCCAAAACCCACCAGTCCCCGGGCTTGAAATCCCACCAGTCCCTGGGCTTGAAATCCCACCAGTCCCTGGGCTCGCTCCAAGTTCTGGACTTGAAATCTCACCAACCCCCCACCCTGGAAAACAATTCCCCTAAGAAACCCTGTGTGTGCCTGTCACCTTGCTCAGTTCCCTGCTGCTTCTTGCCAGAGCAGAGGCAGCCATCCTTGTGTGTCTCTCTGCAGTCAATCTCTCGTGTGAGGTTTGTTGTACAGCACGACTCTGTGGTATTCCTCGGCTTCCGACTACCAGAATACCTTTCCCTTCAGAGCTGTAAGACTTACACTGACATGTTAGTGGTTTTTATGATGTTTCTCTCTCACTTCATGTTAATTTCTCATTCGTGATAATAGCAGGTCAGCTTCAGTCCTGTTCTCGTATTCCCATCCCCTCCCCCCTTGCCATTCAAGTCCCGAGACTGACAAAGGGAAGAAAGAAGAAGAAGTTTCCTGTCTTTTAAAGGAACACCAAACCAATGTGCCCACACAGAGTATCAGCTAACCTGTGTTTCTAAGGAAGAGTTCAACTGTCCTACTTGGCACAGACAAATGACATTTCCAGTCATTGCCGGCCATTTTAGTCATTAGTCATGTTCACTATGACTGTGCACAGATTTGGGGGCCTGTGGACTTCTAGCTCATCATATCCAGAAAGCACAAAGACTGTAAATTTGTTTTAAGAGTTGGTAAGAGGATGCATACGGCTGCGATGGGAACAAAAGTGGCGAGAATAAACATCTTAAATGAAGAGGAAATGATGAGAGCTGCATGTGTACACGGGACAAATTGTCTCACGGAAGGAATAGTTCTGAGGGACAAAGGGAATCAGGCAGCAGTTGAAGAGCTGGGCTTTTGCAATCAAGAGTAATCAGCAAGAGATGAGACAAAGTGATTAGCAAAATGGAGAGCCTGGCCCATGGAGTGAGCCGATTAGAATCAACACAGATGTCCTTTAGCCTGTGTTAATGCAGGAGGATGCCGAGAGTTTGTTTGTGAACTTAAAGGCTAAGTATGTTTGTGGTAGACCAAGGCCAGGCCAGCCTGCAAAATAAGAGGAAACCTCCTACAGGCTCTGCCCAGGTGTAGATAAGGAAGCATGGCCACAGGCTGGGCAGTGCAGGCATTTCAAGGTCTAGACTCTGGATATTGGCCTGAGTGAAGTTGCGGACTGAGTACAATTTTGCCTTATATGGTATCATAAGTTGTCTCTAGCTGTTAATGTGGCTGGAGTATAAAAGAATGAGCCCACATTTCTGGGCAACCCTGACCTCCCAAGACATCTCACTCTTCAGGTTGCCAAGATGGCCAAATTTATGGTCGCTCTGTGGAAAACAAAGGAGACAACAAGCAGCTGCTTCTGCCTTAATCCATGCCCATTTTCTGCCCTGCTTCCATGTGGTTTTGGAAGGAAATCAAAACACAGAGCATCTTTGAGCTGAACCCAAAATGTCGTTCTTGTCCATTCTCTCACCTAGACCAGACTCCATAATCTCAGGGTATATAGGTGACAATGCTGTCAGGGAGGTACTTGTTTAAAGCCACGGCCAATTCCTAAACTGCCAAATGGATAGCAAATGTGGTTATTCTATCTGCTGAGGTCAAGGGATTGCGAACGCAATAGATTCTTCAGTGACCTATTAGGGGTGAGAAACTGCCCAACAGAGTATCTATCAGTAGAGAAGGGACAAATACACCTGATTTAAAAAGTTTTTCAGGGCCGCCTAACTCCTATTAGGTAGAAGTAAGTTCATTTATTATAAAGTCAAGCCCTTTATTGTCACATGAGACAATGGCAGTGGGACCCAAATCGCACGCCCCCCTTCCCCGCCCCAGTCATGTTTACAGAAGCCTAAGATTCCTTACAGAATTGTTCCATCTATGCAGTGTTAGTAAACTGTCATCCAATCCAAGACACCTTTGAATGCAAAAGGAAGCCATACACACAATAGTCCAGAATAAAGCGGGAAGATAGTTGCTTCTATCGCTATGAAAATCCAAGCATTCGCCTATCCTTGTCACCTTTCAAAGGGAGCCTGGTCTGTCTGAAGCCTGGGAGAGAGGCAGCCAGGCTCATCACACTAAGGCTGGGCCAGCAGGCTGTACTCTGTTGAGCATGTGACTTACATGATAACAACCCTGGGTTAGTGACTGGAGAGACCCTGGGGAGCAGGACATGACCTGGCAGGCCTGACCAAGCAGTTCTCTTTCTGGCTAGAAAGGAAAAGAGGTGGTAGTGATCCTATTTTTTTTCCCTGCCTCTGTTCTTTTCACGTATGAAGCACACGCCTTACGCCAATACCGTATGTCATGACAATGATTCCCAACACCCT